TTTTTCAACCTCTCTTTTTTTTTTTTTTCTCATTTATAAAGTGGGCATCGCGCATTCATATAACTTTTTTTTTTTTTTATTGTTGTGTATTTAAGCAAAATGATACATTTAAAATTTTTTTTTTTTTTCTTATAGCAAACACCCAGTTGCTATGGCATTCAAAATTTTTTTTTTTTTTGTATTTTTGTTTTTTCTGTTTTTGAGACAGAGTTTTTTTTTTTTTTTTTTGCTGGAGTGCAGTGGCACAATCTTGGCTCACTGCAGTTTTTTTTTTTTTTATTCAGGAGATTCTCCTGCCTCAGCCTCCGGCGTAGTTTTTTTTTTTTTTATATGCCACCACACCTGGCTTTGTTTTTTTTTTTTTTTTTAAAGTAGAGACAGGATTTTGCCATGTCAGCCAGGCTGGTCTCAAACTCCTGACCTCAAGTGATCCACGTGCGTCAGCCTCCCAAAGTGCTGGGATTTTTTTTTTTTTTTTCCATGCCCGGCCTTATGACAGTGTTTGTTCTTTCTCTTTTTTTTTTTTTTGTAATATTATATTGGAAAAAGTAATTAGAGAATATATTTTTTTTTTTTTTATAAAGTGAAAATTATTGTCTCATTCTCTACCCACATTTTTTTTTTTTTTTCCTAGAATAATGTTGACCAGTAACAGTTTTGGGGTTTTTTTTTTTTTTTTTTTCCTGTAGACTTCCTCTATGGTCAGGATAATAGTTTTTTTTTTTTTTTTTCCACATCTTTTTCTGCATACACATGTAGATAGATTTTTTTTTTTTTTTTGTTTGTTTGTTTTGAGACAGAGTCTTGCTCTGTCTTTTTTTTTTTTTTCAGTGGCGCTCACTGCAACCTCCGCCTCCTGGGTTCTTTTTTTTTTTTTTCCTCAGCCTCCTGAGTAGCTGGGACTACAGGAGTGTTTTTTTTTTTTTTTCTAATTTTTGTATTTTTAATAGAAACGGAGTTTCACTTTTTTTTTTTTTTTGGTCTCTATCTCTTGACCTCGTGAACCTTGGCAAATTTTTTTTTTTTTTGTTGAGGTCTATTTCCATCATTCACCCTTTGCCCTTCAGTGTTGTGGAACATCTCCAAGACTTCATTAAATGTGAAGGTTTTTGCCTTTTTTTTTTTTTTGACCTCTTCATCCTTTTCCTCAAAACCACTTTGCCTTTTTTTTTTTTTTTACTCTAGGTACACACTTTATAGCACCATCTTTCTGTTTTTTTTTTTTTTTCTGATTCACTCAACACCACTCACAGTCATATTGACTTTTTTTTTTTTTTTACCAGCCTTCCCTAGCAGTAATGCATTTTCCTAATTTTTTTTTTTTTTTTGTGTGGGAGCTAACTTCAACACTTCAGCCTTGAATATTTTTTTTTTTTTTTGGTTATTACTATTGTCAGTCCAAAATAGAAATAAATTTTTTTTTTTTTTCTTAAGTGGCTTTCCTGATGCAGTTTAAACTGAAAGTTTTTTTTTTTTTTCTTTACCTTCCTTTTTATATTCACTACATTTTTCAGTTTTTTTTTTTTTTCTTTTTACAAGTGTAGGTCTTCTCCTTTTTTCTCTTTGCTGGTCCATTTTGAAATCTTCAACTCACATATAATTTCACTTCTGGCCTTTTTTTTTTTTTTTCTTTTGCTGCATTTTCATCTTGGTTGACCCATTCTTTTTTTTTTTTTTTCGTTTTCTTAAAATTTCACATTGGTTTATCACTGGGTTTTTTTTTTTTTTCAACGACATGCTTTGTTTGCTTGATGAACTGTTTATTTTTTTTTTTTTTTGGTCAGTGATTGGTCATTACCAGACTTAAGAGGTGATTTTTTTTTTTTTTGATCATCATGGGCCTCTGTTACTTCCATGGTGATTTGGGGACCGTAGAGCTCGCCACATAACAGTGGGGATACATTCTGAGAGACATTTTTTTTTTTTTTTTCATTGTTGTGTGAACATCATGAGTGTCACTATACGAACCTAGATGGGATGGCCTACTGCATACCTAGACTGTATGGTCCAACCTGTTGCTCTTAGGCTAAAAACCTGTACAGGACTTGACTGAATACTGTAGGCTTTTTTTTTTTTTTGGTACATATTTGTGTATCTAAACATAGAAATTATAATTTTTTTTTTTTTTTTTATCTTTGAGACAGAGTTTCAGTCTTGCTGCCCCTTTTTTTTTTTTTTTAGCTCAATCTCGGCTCAACACAACCTCTGCCTCTGTTTTTTTTTTTTTTCTCCTGCCTCAACCTCCCGAGTAGCTGGGATTACAGGCATGCACCACCACGCCTGGCTGATTTTGTGTTTTTAGTAGAGACAGGGTTTTTTTTTTTTTTTCAGGCTGATCTTGAACTCCTGACCTCAGGTGATCTGTTTTTTTTTTTTTTCCCTAGTGCCAGGTTTACAGGCGTGAGCCACCGTGCTTTTTTTTTTTTTTTAATCTTATGGGACCACTGTCATGTGCCTGGTCCCTTTTTTTTTTTTTTTTCCTTATGTGCTGCATGACTATTCTGATATTTACACTTTTTTTTTTTTTTCTCAGTGAGGACTACCTGTGTATTCGGAATCACAGGTTTTTTTTTTTTTTCTAGCCTGGAAATGGAGGGGAGAGCTGCACAAAATGTTTTTTTTTTTTTTCTGAGAGCTGGATTATTTAGGGCCTTGTGGGCTGTTCAGAAGCCTTTGGATTTTATTCTAAGACGGAGAGCCATTGGAGGGTTAAGTTTTTTTTTTTTTTTGATCTGACTTATTTTAAAAGAATCCCTCTGGCTACTGTGCTGAGAATAAACTGCAGCAGAGCAAGGGTGGAAGCAGGAAGACAAGTTTTTTTTTTTTTTACTGTTAACTATCTTCACGGCTTAAACCTGCATGGATTTTTTTTTTTTTTTTGTTCATTTGTTTAATGAAATAGGGTCTCACTCTGTTTTTTTTTTTTTTGTGTAGTGGTGCAGTCTCAGCTCACTGCAACCTTAATTTTTTTTTTTTTTGCAATTCTCCTGCCTCAGCCTCCTGAGTAGCTTAAGTTTTTTTTTTTTTTAGCTCATTTTTTGTATTTTTTTTGTCGAGACCGGGTTTTTTTTTTTTTTTCAGGCTGGTCTGGAACTCTTGGGCTCAAGCAGTATTTTTTTTTTTTTTTTACAACGTGCTGGTATTACAGGCATGAGCACCCCACCTTTTTTTTTTTTTTTAACAAGTGTTTGGATTCTGGATACGATTTGAAGGTTTTTTTTTTTTTTTTTTCTGATGGAATGGAGAGAAAGAGAGGAGTCAAGGATAGCTTCCGTATTTTACCTGGGCATTCTAAAATGAGGAAAGCTCTGAGATTTTTTTTTTTTTTAATCAGGTTAGTTTCAGTCGTTTTACTTTTGCAATATTTTTTTTTTTTTTCACCCAAGTGGAAGTGTCAAATAGACAGATATAAAATTCTGAAGTAGGCTGGGTGCGGTGGCTCACGCCTGTAATCCCAGCACTTTTTTTTTTTTTTTTTGTTGGATCACCTGAGGTCAGGAGTTTGAGACCAGCCTTTTTTTTTTTTTTAAACCCCATCTCTACTAAAAACACAAAATTAGCTGGTTTTTTTTTTTTTTGCCTGTAATCCCAGCTACTCAGGAGGCTGAGGCAGGTTTTTTTTTTTTTTCTGGGAGGCGGAGGTTGCAGTGAGCCGAGATTGCGCTTTTTTTTTTTTTTCTGGACAACAGGAGCAAAAGTTCATCTCAACAACAGTTTTTTTTTTTTTTTGAAGTAATACAGCTCTAGAATTGAAGATAGAAGTCTTTTTTTTTTTTTTAGATTCAGGAATTGTAAGCAGATGTTCTTTAGAGCTTTTTTTTTTTTTTTTAGTATAAATAGAGAACAGAAGTGGTGTAAGGACCATTTTTTTTTTTTTTGCATCTTTAGAGGTCAGGAAAATGAAAAACCAGAAATTTTTTTTTTTTTTCTATACTGTGTGATGTTCTGAGGTCTGTTGGTGCCACAATTAGTCCTCAGCTAATGAACACTTCGGGTTTTTATTTGCTTATTTTTGTTTTATTTTTAGAGACAGGGTCTTGCCCAGTCACCCCGGCTGGAGTGCAGTGGCGTTATCATAGCTCACTGCAGCCTTGAACTCCTGGGCACAAGGATCCTCCCACCTTAGCCTCCTGAGTAGCTGGGACTGCAGGTAGGCACCATTATGCCCAGCTATTTTTATTTTATTTATTTTTTTTGAAACAGAGTCTCACTCTGTTGCCCAAGCTGGAGTGCATTGGCACCATCTTGGCTCACAACTGCCTCTGCCTCCCAGGCTCAGGTGATTCTCCTGCCTCAGCCTCCCGAGTAACTGGGTTTTTTTTTTTTTTCCATCAGGCCTGGCTAATTTTTGTATTTTTGGTAGATTTTTTTTTTTTTTATGTTGGCCAGGCTGGTCTCAAACTCCTGACCTCAATTTTTTTTTTTTTTTTGGCCTCCCAAAGTGCTGGGATTATAGGGGTGAGCCACCACACCCAGCCTGCTAAGCTGATTTTCATATTATGTTTGTAGAGATGTTTTTTTTTTTTTTTAGCCCAGGCTGGTCTTGAACTCCTGGCCTCAACTGATCTTCCCACTTCAGCCTCCCAAAATATTGGGATTACAGGCATGAGCCACTTTTTTTTTTTTTTTTTTGTTTTTGTCTTTTTTAAAACAAAGTCTCATATTTTTTTTTTTTTTTAGTGTTGGTCCCGAAGGTGAAGAACCTGCCATGAGGTTTTTTTTTTTTTTCGTGAGCAGCAGCAGGTGCAGAAGTAGGGTGAGCAGTTTTTTTTTTTTTTCTGTTGGATTTGGTATGCTTCAGAGAAGCTGTGGAGGTGGGGCCCGCACAGGCACTCCGGCTGGCTTTATTTGCAGTAGGCAATCTTTTTTTTTTTTTTTTAGAGAGCGTTTGGATTGTGAAGAAATAACTAGCTGGAAGAATGAACCCCCCACACTCCCACACCCAAGTAAAAGTAATCTCATGTTTTTTTTTTTTTTTGAACTAGCCCCACTCCATTCACTGATGAGTAGCCAATTTTTTTTTTTTTTAAGATAATTAAAATTAAAACATAAGAAAGGAGCAACTTTTTTTTTTTTTTTGTTCCCTAAGACACTGACCAAAAAACGTTGACAGGGGACAGATGAAATTTGTAATGAAATATGCCACCATGAATTTAAATAACGTTTTTTTTTTTTTTTTCTGTGGAGGAAAACACCAAGTTCAAACACAAAAGATTTTTTTTTTTTTTGGCAAAACATGAAGCGATGACACAGGAGTTGACAGGTTTTTTTTTTTTTTTAATGAGGATACCACAGAAGGAAGGCAAAATTCAAATTTTTTTTTTTTTTACTGGCCGTAGAAGATAGAAATGAAAAAGTGGATAATTTTTTTTTTTTTTTAGTCATGTGTCGTGGCTCATGCCTGTAATTCTAGCTTTTTTTTTTTTTTAGGTCAACAGATGGCTGGAGCCCAGGAGTTCGAGATCAGCCTGAGCAATATGGCGAAACCCCAGCTCTACAAAAAATAAAAAAGGTTTTTTTTTTTTTTTGTATGGGCCTGTAGTCCCAGCTACGCAGAAGGCTGATTTTTTTTTTTTTTTTGAGCCTGGCAGGTTGAGTTTATAGTGAGCTGTGTTTTTTTTTTTTTTTTGCAGCCTGGGTGACAGAATGAGAACCTGTCAAAAATTTTTTTTTTTTTTGAGAGAGAAGGATTAAAAAAAAAAAAACCTACAGAGTTTTTTTTTTTTTTAGTAAGACCAAGCATGCGTCGTATCATGTCGTGTCATTTTTTTTTTTTTTGGTTGAGTTGTATCCCCCAAAAGTCGTGTTGAGGTCTTAACTCCCAGTACCTCGGAATGCCACCTTATTTGGAAATAGGGTCATTGTAGATGTAGTTAGTCAAGGTGAAGCCCTGCTGGAGTAGGGTGAATCCTCATTTTTTTTTTTTTTGTCATTGTCTTTTTTTTTTTTTTGGAGGCAGTGTCTTTTTTTTTTTTTTTGGTTGGAGTGCAGTGGTGTGATCACAGCTCACTGCATTTTTTTTTTTTTTGGCTCAAGCAATCCTCCCACCTCAGCCTCCCCAGTATTTTTTTTTTTTTTTACACACCACCATGCTCACCTAATTTAAAAAAAAATTTTTTTTTTTTTTTAGACAAGGTCTTGCTATGTTGCCCAGGCTGGTCTTCAAGTCTTGAGCTCAAGTGACGCTCCCACCTCAGCCTCCCAAATTGCTGAGTTTTTTTTTTTTTTTCACTGTGCCTGGCCGAGTTTGACTATTTTAGGTTCTTTTTTTTTTTTTTAATATAACTTTGAAGATTTTTATTTTCTCCATTCTCTTTTTTTTTTTTTTTTTTT